AACCCTCTATTTTGATTTTCTCCTCCATTTGACCTTATTGCCATATATGTTTTTATTGGAGGACCTCGATCAACCCAGTATTTCTCAATTCTTCAACTAGTCATCCTTCACTTTATAAACAAATCACTGTTATTTACATTTATATCTATTTTGTCTTTGTTTAGTTGATAAATGATAATATTAATTTCTAGTTCTTTTAGATTAGATTTCTTTTAGAGTGTTATACTTCCAGTCAAGGCAGCAGCCACAGTGAATCAAAGTCTACACTTAACTATTTAAGATTTAAATGACACATAAAAAGGATTAGAACAAAATTTTGAAGAATAAATATAGGCTCGTCAAAAGAATTATGAATTATAAGTTTATTGTGAACATCCTATTTGAAAATCTTGGATATGCCACTGTTTCCAACATCTCATGACGCCACATCATCAACATTACTCCATATAAAAACACAAGGATAAGGAGGTTCAAACCCCCAACCTCTTATGAGAAAGATGATTATTTAACCATCTAAGTCAATTATCAACTATGTTATTAATATGTAAAAAACATTATATAAGTGCAGTTCAAACCACCAGATTCAATTTTTTTTTTGTAAATACTCAAAGAATAACTCAAATTTGAATTGGTAATGACAATTATAGTTTTGAAAAGTCTTAAAAAAAAATTATCAATTGCACGTCTACAATAGTATCAACCCGAACGTCCGGGCTATTCACTAGTTAATTTATTGTAAACCACTAATACTAGTGATATTATAGTCGTTTTATTAATAAAAAAAAAGTCACTATGTTAAAATAAAGGTTAATAAAAGTCATTGTGTAATTATAAAGGTCATAAGAAGTTTATTTATTTATTTTACTGAAATTTTTAAAAAATGGTCAATATGAATATTAAAGGCCCCTATATTAAAATTAAGTTCACTATGTCGACTGATTTGTGACTATTTCAGGTTTACAATAATATTAAAAGTCACATAAGTTTTAATAAAGGTCATTATGTTAAAACTAAGATCACTATTTTCAACAATATGTCAGTTGCGTGTGTATAGACCTTGGTCCACACTAGTATTATGTGAACTAGGTCCACATAAGATTTTTTCTCATAATCATTATTATTAAAGGATCAACTCTAAACTGATGATTAAGGTCTAGGAATATCTTTTATACTCTTTCACGCCTAATTATTATACCTACACCCAAGTGTAGTTACTAATACCTACACCCCCCTCCCTATATATGTAACTACTAAAATATTATCAGCTAAAAAAAAAAATACTGTTTTAAATCTTTTAGTTCTCCTCATATAATGCAATTTTTGTAATAAAATATGGTATTACTACTTTATTTCTCTCTTCTTAAAAGTTTACCCACTTTTCCACTTCGTTTCCTCTCTCCTAAACTAGCAAAATCTGCCATTTTCTCCAAAAAGGAAACAAAAATCTCTAAGATTTTAACTAAACATTAGATTCAAAGAATATAATCACAAGATCGAATGAAATTTCTTCAAAAGAAAGGTCGAAAATCAAATTATAAGTTATTTTGTTTATTTTTGGAAAAAAAATAATATACATTCTAACTTTTTACCTTGTTCTTCAATTGTTTTCTCTAGATGAAGTAAACAATGTATGGTAGTAGTTATTGATTTCTTATACAGTAGTTTTCTTATATCATATAAAAGTGAATTCTAATAGTTATTGTATAATGATGTTTGGTATATATGTTGAATTAATTTGTGGTGTGTTATTAGATTAGAAAATTGTTGGACGTAAAAAAAAAACTTGAAAACAGAGTTTAATTGTTCTAATTTTCTGGAAAATTTGACATGTAAGATTATAAAGAAGTTAATTCATTTCGTATTGAAAATTCTTTTTTACAAATGCTCGTTTTCAATTTGGTGAATGTTCATTTTTATTTTTCATAATTAAATGTTCATTTGTATATTAGTATACGGTCATTAATATATTAATAAACGGTCATTGAAATTCTAATAAATGTATTTTTTGCCATTTTCTTCATCAATTTCTATATATCGAATAAGGGATTTCAATAAGTGTTTTTTATTTCTTATATTATCATGGAAGTGATTCTTATAATAATATTGGAATTATGTTATAAGAACTTTCATTAATTATAACATAATCCAATTAAAAACGATGTTTAGTGAATTTTGACTAGTAAATTTAATCTATTATAAATGTTTATTTTAGGTGGACTTTATGCTCATTTGTAAAGGATTATTATTCAAATTTTAATAACCAAAATAGACAATTGTTAATAAATATTATTTATTTTGTTAATAAAAATTGTTATTTAGAGAATTTTGGCTATTAATTTAATTTATCGTAAATGTTCATTTTTAATGGAATAATGATCATTTTAGAAGAAATTAATGTTCATTTATGATCATCTTTATATGAATATATGTTCAATTAAATTTGATAAATGTTCCCATTCAAAAAAAAATAAATAAATTAATAGATGTTCATTCACTTTAAAATATAAGTTCATTCATATATTGAAAGATGTTCATTTCCATTCTAATAAAATAAAATATTCATTCTCACATTTAAACATGTTCATTTACTTTAGGAAATATTGGTAAAAAGAATCCCAACTTTCACATGGGGTACGGTGTATTCGCTTTCTTTGGTCTCTAGTGACCGGTTACCTGTTAAAGAGGCAATTTTTTTTTTGGTTTATCTAACACGTGGCAGTACGTGATTGGTTGAAATATAAAAAAAAAAAGTAAAAAAAAAACTTAAAGAAAAATACCAACTGCCACTGCATTAATAACACAACCCTAACCACCAGCAGTTTCAGGCAACACCTCCCACAACCCAACCCAGCCAGGTCGCCGACCACCACCAGATTCCCTCTTTCACGTTGGCACTTCCTTCCTGGCGCCCCCTCCCCAAAAACCACCAAACTCGCCTTGCCTAAAATCCCCGTAACCCCTAAAACGACCTCCCCGCTGCAAAAAAACCCCAAACGACCTTCCCGGCTTCCCCCCCACCATCGAAACCTAGCGCTAGGGTTTCGATGGTGGTGGGGGGGGGGGAAGGCCGTTTGGGGGTTATATGCGGTGGAGGAGGTAATTTAGAAATTTCGAGGGGGTTTTGCATTGGGCAGCGGGATTGGCGGTTTTAGGGGGAAGTGGCGCTAGGAAGGGTAGCTGACCGACGCGTGGGACGGGGGGGAGTTATGGTCGGTGCGTGGATAGGGAAGAGGGTTTTAGCCGGCACAGTGGTGGTCGGGAAGGTGGTTGTTCGTGGGTGGAGGCTGGGATTTTTTATTTTATTTTATTTTTGTCAGATTTTTTTAAAAATTTTAACCAATCACATGGTGACACGTGTCACCTTAACCTATTATAACAAGTTAGTTATCGATTAGGGACCAAAGAAAGCGAATACACCCCAAAATTGGGATTATTTAATAATAATCCAAAATTTGGGAATATTTAAAGTGAATACGTGAAAGTTGAGATTATTTTTACCAATTTTTCCTTTACTTTAATACTTGTTCGTTCTCACTTTAATAGATATTTGTTTGAATTTTAATACTTGTTTGTTATCATATTGAAAAATTTAGTTAAATCTAAAAATTTGTTCATGCATTCTCATGTTGAAAGATGTCTTCCGACTTTTAGTAGTTGTTCATTTTCATGTTGAAAAATGTTCATTTATATTTTAATACTTGTTCATTTAAATATTGAATTATGTTCATTTCTAGCAATGTGTTCAAATTTGTATTTATAAATGTTTATTTGATTATTTAGTTTTGTCTATAGTGTATTTTGATTATTGGAACTAACCTTTTTTTTTTTTTTTTACAAAAAAGTTAATCTTTTACAGGATAAAGAAATAAAAAGGTAAAGATGATAATGTATATATTGGGGAAAAATATGTATCAAGCAAAACATACAAACATCTATCATAAGAGTAGAAGGGGTACAAACGTACATCAAGGAGGATGATTTTATATACCTTTTATACCAAATGTATGTATTAAATTAAAAGACGATGTTCATTTTGTAAGACACATACGAAGTGTATGTTACATACATTTTTGAAGTTTAAGATTTTCACTTTTATTATTTTTATAGTTTTTATTTTTTATTTTTTTAAATTAAGCATATATACATTTTAAATTTGTTTTCTTTTATGCTAAAACACTGAGGATGTAATAGTTTAAAATGATTTTATTATGTAATTGATTTGCTTTTATTCTATATTGAAAGATATTTCTCTCAAATAAAGTCTATTAAGTCAACTAAATAATAAGGCAAATTAATAAAAAACTGTCTAAAAATAAAAATACAATAGTTTGAATTTAGCAGGTTGTATTAAAAAGATTGAACATTTAATGATACAAAAATGAACATTTTATATGCGATTTGAAATCGAAAAATTATAGGATGACGTCATTATGGAAAAAGATGGGGGTGCAGGTAAAAATTTATCATGCCCCCTCAGATGAGAGGCCTTTGAGCTTGAAAAATGTGGATGCAACATGGACTCTCTGCATACCTTACGTGAAATATTCCACTTTGAAAGGAGGGGTGCAGTGGATGAGATTCGAACGTGTGACCTTTGTGTCATGCTGGTTCCAATACCATGTTAAAGGACCAACTCGACTAAAAATTTAAGCTAATGTTTGAGGCCCAGAAATATGTATATATATTGTATATACAAATATACATTATGCGGAGTCTTAAAACTCATTTTAACTTATCCACACACTAAATATATAATACCAATATTTTATTACGGAGTAATTCATTTATTCCATTTACTAGCTAGTCTAATAGATCGTGTACATGTATATAACAGTTTTAAAAAAGAAATTATAAGTTAGAAAAGTAAGAATTTTAAATTCAACTTTAATTTCTTAAAAGAAAACAAATTAAAGACTCTACATTACACTAGTAGTCACTATCAAATCCTAGTATATGGCCTTCCCTAAATGAATCACTTGTCATTCTCATACTTCCAACCTTCAATTTTTTTTTATAGCTAAAGTTGGTCATATGTAGTTCCCCTTCTACAAATTTTCATCACTACTTTGTTAGCTTCTTTCCTCTTTCCTTTATTTTCTTGAAATCTCTAAATTTTTATTTCCACTGTTAATCAAACTCACATATATCCTCATGTGGTTCATATCACTTCATCTTCCCTTAATTAATCAAAGACGTTAACACTTCTTTTAATGATAGTAAATAATCATGCAAATTAATAACCCCTTCTTTTTCTCTTTACCACCAAAACTAGCAAAAACACGTCAACAACTATGAACCCCCAATCACCAACCACAAGATCACCACCACTACCACTACCACCCTCCTATAGCAACAACCCCAACGACGATGACAACGATGATGATTTTCGTGACATCCATGCTCTAACACCGCCTTCTCACCCCCTGCCTCCTAGTCAACAACGTATGTTTGATGCTAATAGCCGTCGATCATCCAACCTTTCCGTGGCAAGCGACATCACCAACTCTAGTGAGAATTTTACTACCATGAGTAGGGAGTTCAACGCTCTTGTTATAGCGGGGTCCACTATTGATCACAACGACTATAGCACCAATAGTAACCAAGTTGGTGGAAATAACGGGTATGGGTATGGGAATGGAAATGGGAATGATTGGAATAATAATATAAGTTTAGATAGGATCGGAGAAGAGGAGGGGGAGGCCGAAGAGACTAATCCGTTGGCTATAGTGCCGGATATTAACCCTTTGCCTTCCCCTCCCGGAAGGCAAGGGAATAGGAGTGATTCATCGTCAGGTCACCATTTAATGGGATCGAGTAGTCGTAGTACTACTACCAATAATAATAATAACAGTAACAGTAATAGTAATAGTTATAGTAATAATAGTAGTGGTGGGGAGATGGCCATACATCATGTAAAAAAAGAGGAGGTTGAAACAAAGATCGCGGCATGGCAAACCGCTAAGATTTCGAAAATAAACAATCGATTTAAGAGGGAGGATGCGATAATTAGCGGATGGGAGAATGAACAAGTTCACAAGGCTTCTTCTTGGATGAAAAAAATTGAGGTAATATTTCTTTACTTTCTCATTTTTTTTGTGTTAATTATTTTTAATTGGTCTATGCTTTATATTATTAGCATGATTGGTTAACTTTAGTATTATAGTATGATGATGAGATAATTGGGTATGGTTGTAATCCATAATTATATAAGTGATTAGACGTTGATTGCAAATTCGAATGCGTAATCGGAAGGTAAGCGAACTAGTCATAGCATAATCATGATTTTGAAAGTTGATTTAGAAATTGATCACAAAAAAGTTGGATCGTTACTAGGTGGTCAACTCTTTAATTAATTATAAATGGACTGTGTTGCAAAATTAGTTAAGAGTTCAAATTAGACAAGGATTTATTATATTGATGATGATCTTAAATATGTGTGGTAAATAGTAAAATTCATGTAGAAATAAGTTGTTTTTCTTTGAAGTTTGAAATAGTGGTGATTTACTTGCGATTATTGGGCCAAAAGCTTGCAAATTGGTAACCCCTTGCCTCTTGATTGTTTCTTAATAGACTGAGTGAAAGTTTGACTTGATCTTAAAATTGAGCTCATATCTATCAATATAGAATTTAATTTGAAAATTATTTTATTTTTACCCAAAATTTGATAAATACGATCATGGAAAATATATAAAGAGGGATTTATTCGATAAATCCAAAAGCTAAGCAATGTGCAACGACTTTTATATCACCCAATCTTAAACTGACTAATAAAATGCTCGATTTCATACATCTTCTTGATCATTTTCTAGTTATATATTTAAGCTTGAGGAAGGGTGTTTGTTTTCTTAATTAAGTAAAGTTTCATTAGGACTCTTTTGATTTCCATACCTTTGTCTTGTTGATTAACTAAATCATACATATCACCTTAAAATCAAATAAGTTAGACGTGTGGTAAAACCTACAAAAGTAAATGTGTTGTATAAGGAGAGATTTTGAAGTATGATCAACTTTTGGTATCAATTAAGTACCAATAATATAAACCAAATTTATTTATTGGTGTGGACGGTACAATACTTGTAGTTGAAGTTGGGCGTCACTGTCTTAGTGATCCCACCAATAGACAAGGAAACCACAAGTAATGCCAATAGAAGATGATGTATCATTGGCCTAATTCTTCCTTGGGTCTATTAGATATACGTAATTGTAAGTGTCCACCAATAGGGTAGAATGGAGTGGCGCACAACTTTAGAGAGACAGTATATAATATTAACTACATTAAAGTGGTATATAGCTCTGCATAACACTAACAAGATCATACTTAACACTTGATAAAAAAAAAAAATGGAGAAATTATTTTTTAGAAAGATCTCTTCCATACAACAATAGTAATCCATTAAATGAGAATGGAATTGATAAGAGGCCAAGGTTTATGGCCCTTGATTGTCACTTAAGACACTCACCATTTATGTTACTCAAACTCAAGTACTTGTGTTTGACACGCGTGCATATCCATTTGTCTGACTCAGCTAATTTATGAAAAGCCTTAATAATAATTTGTCCCAAAATAAAGTGCTAAAGTGTCCAATACATGTTATTGTGTCCAACAGAATTTGATACGGTTAATTGAGATGAAACTGAGAGTTCAAGTAATATAGCTGATGGCTATGACATCCTTGCTAGTAGTCTAATAGACTTAGTGGAAGAAGAATTGGTGGGGTTGTTAGGCGAAAAAGCAAAGGCGCTTAGGAGTGGGGTGACCTTATGTAGCGTCCTTATATTACTATAAATATATCGTTAGGATTATGCCCTGTGGTCACATACCATACACCTTTAGCGTCAAAGTTTTATAGTTTAATTTAATGGCGTTTTTATAGTTTCATGGCACATATTGTATTAATAGTGAGTAAAATAAATGGGTATTCTCCTTATGAACCACCTGAGATCTTCTGTTTTGTTAAACATATGTCGATTTTAAGTCAAATGCATATAAATATACGTCGTTAGGCTACTGTTAATGTAAACAAGGTTGTTAGCAAATCGATGGGAGGTTCATGCTACATAGGTGTTGTTTCGGGGTTTTCTGATGTCCTGCGGGAGAGTTACAATTCCGAGACTGGAACCGGACGCCTATACCTGCAAAATAACGGAGACTCCTGTGAGCTCCGCCTCCAACGGTCAAGTTAGTACCTGATTAAGGAGTAATTAATGCGGAAATTAAAGTAATAAGGTCTCTCTAGGTGAGAGTGTTTAATGTAGGTAATCTGCTTTGTTAGCGAGATCAGCCGGTTATTAATGTGTTCCGTAATGTTTTTCGCGTAAACTTCTTGTGTCCCCCTCCTTAATGAGGATTAAGGGAGGTATTTATAACCTTGGGAAACGTGCCCATCCTAGGTTTAGGTAAACCTAGGGCCGATTGGGCTTCCCTCGGAAGTTGGGCCTGGGTGGCCGGGTTCTCCATTAGGCATGGAGTATGCCACATGTCGTGACATAACAGGTCCAAGGTGGACGAATAAGCGCGTGCCACGTGGCAAGCCCTGACAGTTCCAACCAGGGGACACTTGGCAGGACCTGATTGGTCCACGTGGCGCATTCCGATTGGTGGGAGCAAAATCCCCTAATCAGGTGTCATGGTACGTTAGTAAATACTATTAACACATACGGTGTACCCTATAGTAACATCTTCACTTAGAAAACATCTAAATGCAAACTAGTTAATTGAAATCAAGTGATGTTTATTAATAATAAGTATGATCTTTTCCTTCACACTTCCAAGTCATGCACACTAGATTAACAATCAATTTTGATATGCATGTTATTTGTTATTTACAAGTCAAACTAATTTTTGTACATCTTTGGCAAATATTCGAAATTGTGAATGTTCAGAGAAAATTGGAAGAGAAACGAGCAAAAGCAATGGAAAAGACGCAAAATGACATAGCGAAAGCACGTAGAAAAGCCGAGGAAAGGAGAGCATCAGCAGAAGGAAAGAGAGGAACCAAAGTGGCTAGGGTGCTTGAAGTAGCCAACTTGATGAGAGCTGTTGGAAGACCACCAGCTAAACGCTCTTTCTTCTAAGCATCCTTTCGTTATTTTTAGAATTTTTACATGCTATAATTTGCAATATGATATATAGATAATACTACAAAGTACAAAATTTACTAGGCACTTAAAAAAGTGCTTTAGAATCCTCTGTTTTTTGGATACAGAGGTTTCCAAGTTTAAAAAACATATTAGTGTGGTGTGTTTCAAGAGGAAATGCAAGCTAGCGTTTCTCTTTGTAAGCGTTTTGGGTTATCATGGTAATGGTGCCTTGAGCCCTTGTACAGTTTTGTTGTTGTAAGTTACAAGGAAACTAATGTACGAAGTATGATGCATGTTTGCAAATGAGAATTATGGTGTATACATGCTAGTTTTCATGTCGTCTAATTCAGCCATAATCAAGAATGTCCTATCGTGTGAAAATTTTGGTTGACAAAAAAAAAAAAAAAAAGAAAAAAGAAAAAAAGCCATTAATCAAGAACAAGTGATCAATGCCCTCAAAAAAAAAAAAAAAAAAACAAGTGATCATCAATCTTTTTAAGCTTTATCATTAATTTAGTTTGTCGGTGAACTGGTATTATAAAAATAGTTGTTGTTATCATTTAAGATATCAAAAGAGTTATTGTAAATACCAACGAAAAACTTAAGAAAAAGACAAAGAACAACTTAAAGGATTTTTGTCAAAGAAAAGCCGCTTATATACTGAGTTGAATGTGATTCGAGAACAATGAGTGCAATACTTTAGATCAAAATATTTATTGAAACCGTAATTATTAGGTAGAATAATATAATGAGGATTGTATGTTATATAAAATTATACTTCCTCTGTTCTTTTTCACTTGGCCCGTTTTGACTTTTACACTATTTACCACCCCTCTTTTAACCGTCTTTTGTGAATAATATCTAAGGAAAAAACATATTCATGTGGGATCTTTTTGAATTCGTCTCAATAAGTACTATCATAATATATAACTTTTATAATTTTTACTTATGGAGGATTAAAGTTATTGATTGTTAAAGTTTTACATTGACAAGCGTGATAAAAGAAACATGTCAAGTAAAAAAGAACAGAGAAAGTACAAGTTTAATTTATAAAGTAGTAATAAAACTTTTATGTTAAATCCTATTAATTTCTCGTAATTTTCGTTCATCATAATAGTGTATGTACAGGGTTGCACTAGGCACATGTTTATATTAACAGGTTCTAAATGGTCCAAATTATAAATAAAATGCTGTCAAAATATACTAAAACAAAAACTCACTATTTATAACAGGCGGTGTTCGTTACAAATAACTACTTATTTGTAACGGGCACTTGTGTTACCTGTTACAAATAAGTAGTTATTTATAACGAGCATTCCACCTGCCCATTACAAATAGCTTAGTTTTTCATAACGACCGTATACGTAACCCTCTCTGCCCGTTAGGAATAGGTTGTTTTTGCTCGGTACGAATAGGCGTTTTTCCTTTAGTGAGAACAAAATATAGTCCTAACTCTCCTAAGTTTAACACTTCCATCGATCACCACAACTCATAACTAGGGATGTTAGTGGGATGGGACGGGTATCCTACTCTCGATCCTGGTTTGATGGGTTGTGAGGCAGGGATGGAGATAATTCAGTCTCATATATACTATTAGGAGGAAATTATGTTTTATATTTCTTCTCGATTGGTAGATTTTTATTCTTACCATGTTTTCTTGATTTTTCATTTAAAATTGAAGTTATTTGAGTTAAAAATCCTTAAAATTAGATTGCGTATCTTTTAATTAAAGTTATGCGCTGTTATGGGTTATTTAAAAATCTCCTATTATTTTAATTTACATATGTATGAAATCTGATATTGATTTGACTTTTATTTTTTTTGTTTTTAAAATAAAATTAAAAGCTCATGTTATACACACCCGGGTGTAGCTTAAGGAAGGTGCACACGGGGGTATTCGTAATTTCACACAAAATTTAAGTCACCTACTTCTACTTCACTGGTTCACTGGTTCACTCCTTTTACGGTCTTTGACTTTGGCTCCACCTTTCTCCTTCCCTCACCACCCTTTATCCTTCAATTTTGGAAATTCAAGCCTAAAATCAGATGCTCTTACCTTCTCCCCATCTCCACCTTTCTCCTCCCCTTACCAATGTTGGCAACGTCCTCCCGACAACCTCAAAAAAAATTCCAATCTTCGTTCAACCGGAAATTTCTTCTGCTACATGATGGATCTGCTGAAGAAGAAAATTGAAGATCTGAGGAAAGAAAAAGTGAAAAGAATGTTCATTTTTCTCATAAATTTACAATTTGCTCATTTTTTTCTGTTCATTTTACTCGTTTCCGTTTTTTTTTTTTTTTTTTTAATAAATTGAAGCAATAGTGTTTTGCTCGATCATTTGTTGATTGAACGACTTCAAAATAACTGTTTAAAGCAAATTTGCAATTCTAACTCAAATTTGCTAATGAATATAAAACCATAAAAGAAAAAATCAAAGCCAAACTACTCAGATGATGCCTCCATTGTTATCACCTTCACAAAATTTAGCTTCGGTGTTTTGGATCAAAAACCATAAAAATGAACTAATGAAGAAAGAAAGACGCGTGAAGAAATTGAGAAAAAAATTGAGCAGAATAAAATGAGTAAAAAACATAAAATGAATTTTACCTAGATTCCACCATTGCTGAATATAGTAAAAAAAGAGAGAGGAAATTTACCTAGATTCCACCATTGTTGAATACAGTAAACAAATCCGAAGCAAAAAATCGAAAAACAAAGACTGTAAACAAATTCGAAGCAAAATATCGAAAATGTAGATGAAAAATTCTGGAAATTGAAGACAGGAAGAGAGAGAAAGAAGTAAGGAAAAGAGAGAGGGAAAGAAGAAAGGAAGAGAGAGAGAAGAATGGAAAAATTATGTAAGAATAAAACCTCTAGATATCACGTACAAGAAGCATGCAAGCAAAATTAATTGTAAACTGGCAGTTATAAACCCGGGTGTACCGTGCACCCAATTATATAACATTATTTTGGTAGTTCATATCTTAGACGCAAATTATTCACTCATTCCCTTTCTTTTCGGATAAATTTGTGTGAACCTAGTTTATAATAATATTATTGTGGACCTGAGATTAATACGCACGCAACTGGTTGTATTTTGAACATAGTGACTCTAATTTTAACATAGTAACCTTAATTTTAACATAGTAACTTTTATTAAAACATGTGTTATCTTTAAATCCTTTAATACTATTGTTAAATTTGAAATACGGTGTTATGATCAATAGTGATCCTAATTTTAATATAGTGACCTTTATTATTCATATAATGAACCGTATATATAAAATTTCATAAAAAAGATTAACCTCTTATGACCTTTATATTAACACAATGAATTTTAATTTAACATAATAACCTTTATTTTTTTTTTATATATTTTTTAAATGACTATAGTATTTCGAATATTAGTGGTCCACAATAAATTATTGTGAACCGGGTCTATATAAGAATTTATACGCCTTTTTCCATTAATATAAAGACAAGCATAAGTTATCAAAATAAATTTATTCACATGATTTTTGTAGGGCGATGCATTTTTGTTATAGATTGTTATGAATGTCAAAATAAATGATACATTTTAAATATGCAATTTAAAAAAAAAATATTTATTTTTCAATGATGATATTGTTTCAAACTCCATATTATTTCAAGAATGATATTGTTTCAAACTCCATATTGTTCAAAACCACACACACATAACTCAATTAGAATCGAGTCAATATATATCATTTCTAGATCTTACAATATGGTCGAAAAATTATGTTAATTATAAGTAAAATAACCAAATAACGGTTACAATTAACTGAATCTTTAAATATAGCGGTAACTGGTTGCAATTACAATTTTGAGTAAACTATTAACCATCATTAACCGTTAAAACAAAAAATATATATTTTTATTTACTTTTTTGAGGAAAATATATATATACTTATGTAAGTTAACCTTAAAAGAATCTTTATCAATTTGTCTCTAACTGTTGATTGGAACGTATTATTGTTAATATTTAATTTTGTAGGTATTAGAGTAGTAAATATTGGAAGAGCGAAAAAGTATTGATTTAAAATTTTATGGCTAGCGCTTAATCAGTAATTATATCGTTAAGTAACGGTCAACCGTTGTGGTTTTAATAAACTATTGGAAGAGCAAAAAAGTATTGTAAAGGGACTTCAAATTGCTTGAAAACCATTTTTTAATTAGGTTGTATGATGATAATAAGGTTGAATTACTGTTGAATTGCTTTGTTGCTGCCCCCGAAACCCTTGAACTAGATCCCATATTTAAAGGCTAGGATGCAGAAAGTCTGGCGCTGGAAATTAATTGCTAGCACGTCACACGAGCTTTAGGGGCGCGTGACGTGACGTGATGCGACACCAAAAACAACACCAGCCTTGCTGCGCCATGACATATTAAAAATGTATTTTAGGCAGTTTTTATTTTGACCAAAACTTTTTATCCCGAACTTGGAATGAGGCAAATAATATATCTTTGGAGTGTAAGGGTGTTGGTGTTGGGTCAAGTATAATATTTGGCTTATATCTTTTTGTTTTAAATTGGAATTGCGCTTATGATATATCGCTATAAATCTTATTTCAAGGGCTGCTCAACCAGATGCGATTTGTATCAAAGTTATGGGCCACAAAAATTAGATTTTCTTAGTTTTCGACTTTGGTCAAGAAAAAAGAAAATTAGGCTAAGAATTGTGGAACTTGGTATGAAAACGGTTTAAATGGATGTCGTTTGGGCTAGGAATGGATTGGATTAGGTGGGTAAAATAAAAATGGGCTAGGAGTTCAAGGAATAATTAATTCCAATGGGCAACCTAACCAGTTAATGGTAAAAGGTCACTCATCACCGAGTTTGGGTCGAGGAGACACAGTAAGGCGCCTACAATAGTACTACTGTATAAAATATTTTGAAAATATGATTTTTCGATTTACATTGCTTAATCTCTCTCTTAAAGTGTGTGCCAAAAAGGTATGTTTCTTTCACAGGAAAACAGATGAAACATTAGTTTTTTTTTTATTTTTTTTTTATCATAGAAAATACTTCCATTCAAAAATTTAAATGTTAATCAATTAAAGAGATTTAATATACACAATTTTTTACTTGTTTCCTTAATAAATATTTACTATATTTAAAGGAATAATCAAATTAAGATATAATCTCAACATACCTTTTTTTAAGTTTAAATATCTTCCTTGTATGTTAAGAATCATTAATTTTTAAATAAATATTGTTGTATTTTTATTTCCTTACTCGCCAAAGGTGCACATGCTTTACATGCATTGTCATCTTTAACCACCATATAAGACTAATGAATATTTTTTATTGTAT